CTTAAGGCTATGACTGGGGCAGTCTCGAGGGACGACAAAGAAAAATTCATTACAGGGAAACTGGAGAGTAGATTGGAGTGGATTGGAAGCTCTGGCGCTTAGGTTCGGTCTATGCCTTGCTCAAAGGGCAGGGTGCATTCGTCTGGTTATTAACTCTTGATGATTTGAAGGTGATTGACACAATGAAAAATGGAGGGCCGTCGTTGGGTGCGGCGGTGTTTGACGATTGTTATTATTTGGCTTCTCATTATCATCTTTCTTGTATTGAAGGTGATTGACACAATGAAAAATGGAGGGCGTCGTTGGGTGCGGCGGTGTTTGACGATTGTTATTATTTGGCTTCTCATTATCATCTTTCTTGTATTGATTTTTGTAGTAGAGAAGTGCATGAGCTTGCTAGGTTGGCTAGATTTTCTCCAACATGGATTGAGGAGCCTTTGAATGAAACTGTTATTTCAAGTGAATAAAGGCTAGGTTTTTTTTATAAAAAAAAAGGTAGTTGCAAGTAATCAACAATTGTTTCAAGTGAATAAAGGCTAGGTTTTTTTAAAAAAAAGGTAGTGGCAAGTAATCAACAATTGTGATCAAGATTATGTTCTGGATCAGCTCCTGAGAACTTGAGAGATTATTATATCACCGAATGGGTATGCAAGTGTTGAGCCATACTAAATCACTTAATTGCCATCTAAGTGAATTCATTCATAACTTTCTGTGAGGGCTCGGCAAACACAACATTCACAGAATTATAATGCATGATGAATACCTGTGTAAATGAATATCCTGTTGATGCTGTTATATGTCCAGTTGAAACACATTCCAAGAAATTTTACATTTGTGATGATAAGCAGATTTAACACACTTTAAAAAGGGAAAGAAAACAGAACACCGTACGGGCTAACAAATGGGGCCGCAGATAATTTTTCCTGATACAACTGCATATTTGAATTCTTTGTGCCGCCTTGCTGGCTTTGTAGTCACTGCAGGCCCTGCAAAGTAAAGTTGCTTGTTAAACAAATATCATATTCTATGAAGCTCCTAAAATGGAACAAGTAGAAATAGGGATAAAGTATACACTGCTATGATATACTCCCTCTGTCCAAAATAAGTGTCTCAACTTTGTACTAACTTTAGTACAAAGTTAGTACAAAGTTGAGATGCTTATTTTGGGACGTAGGGAGTATATAAAAGAGCACTAAAACAGTGTCCTTAGTCTCGTATGTGTAAAGATAGAACCCCAAATGAATAACCTTGCCTTCCTGAAGCGTCAACACATGCTAAGAAAATTGTCGATCTTTCAAAGCTTCATTTTTCTTAATCATAAGGAAAATAATCTTAAGTGACGGTTAAAGCGTGCTGATAATGTCAAGAGAGGTTGGGGTAGACCAAACTTGACATGGGAGAAGTCCATAAAGAGAGATCTGAAGGACTGGAATATCACCAAAGAGCTAGCCATGGACAGGTGTGCGTGCAAGCTAGCTATCCACATGCCAGTACGGGCCAGTTCTTTTGGACTGTGGCTTATGCATAAGCTGCTCTGGAAATAAGCCTCATATAAGCTGTTCTGGAAATAAGTCCATGAGAATAAGCCATCCAGTTCTTTTGACTGAGCTTATTTTCTAAGTTCTCTGATGAAAAGTCTATAGTACCCCTAAACTGTACAAGTATGACCTTTTAACTTATATTATGTAATTTCTATTGTGTTTATCATAGCAGCAACCTGGACAACTTCATTCATTTTTTTTCCAGAAAACACAAAGGACCTTTGTGCTTCATTCATATTCTCTTCCATTTTAGCAAAGGTATTCTTACTGCCAACTTGCAAAATGGCTAGCAGGACCAAATCAAACAACAATCAAAATGCTAGTGCTTGTATACAAATTTCTGAATGCATTCAGTAGCAACTGCCCTTTTTACAGCAAGTATAAACCTGAAGAAATGTCAACAAAAGTCAGGTACACTTCCTGAATGCGCATGACCACTATACTTCCTGAAACCTGAAGAACTGTCAACAAAAATCAGCTACATCTCTATGTCTACAATCAGAATACTACTCCTAATAATCGCCATGAGATTGTCAAGCATTTTCTGCTCAATGGACAACTAGAGAGCTTGGAGGAAGCCGGCTGGACGGGGGGAGAGCTCGCACACGAGGGTCATCAGCGGCGGCCGGACCTGCAGCGGAGCAGAGGGGAGCTTCGCGGTCAGCAAGCCCGGACGAGGAGCTTTCCGACCGGGGAGGATGCTTGGAGGCATGGCTTTGGTGGCAACCAGAGGGCGCCAACGGAGGCGGAGCTTCAAGCGCTGAGTGCCGACGGCGGTGCCGAAGGGACGGGTGGGTGCGGGGGAGGGGCTAGCCTCCGTCTATGTCATCAGCACTAGAGGGACGGGTGGGTGCGAGGTAAGGGACAAGCAGAGGGGCGGCGGCAGGGGGAACCCTAGCTGAAGAGTTCACTCCTTGTTCGCCAGACAGAACGAATCGATTGATTCAAAAAAATATCAAGGGTCCGTGGCTGGGTACAGGTGACGCCTCACGGTGGCATTTTCCTTGTAAATAGAGCAAACTTCAGTGGTACAAAGCTATACCCCTTTGTTTCTAAGTGGGCCGCCAGCTTATTTCCATTGTGAAGGAGGTGAGGGTGGAAATAAGTTAAGCCCAAGTCTCCAAAACGAGTTCTTTTGTTCTTTTGTCTTAATTTGGCAAAAAGGTCCTATAAGCTGCAAAAGAACTGGCCCTACCATGAGTTGATTTCACGGTCAAGATCAAGCAATTAGTCACTCCTAAAATTCTACCTTCTTCATTGTATAGCCTAATATGGTAGGCAGCTAAAAGTATAGATATTCATATAATGATGAACTGGTAAACAAGGATTCTTTTTCCATTAACTAAATCACAAAGCTGCCATAAAAAAGGCAGTTCTGGACATGAAACTTACCCTGCCAACAATCCCATAACTCGGAAATATCCATTATTTGCCTGTTTCCTTAACATCATCTGAATCTGAGTCACTAGCATTGTACCCTAAAACAAAACAACATGTTACCAATAAACAAAAGAAGCACATACACCTTTTACATGAACAAGTTGAAGATATGAAGGACGCTTGAAATTAGCCAAGGACGGCTAACCTGGGCGTTTATTGCAAACTTTCCAGACTGTAGACCGATATCTTGATGCTTTCTCCATCCAAATTCTAGACTATACAATGAAAAAATTCTTGGTTAGTCAATCAAATATTTGCAGCAATACAACATAACGAGAAGACATGTAATTCAATAGAAGTAGTAAACTGAAACTTCTGCAAGTACAGTAAATGACTGCCTTTTCAGTATCTACTGCCTTTTCAGAATAGCTCATGCTCCATCAACTGAACTGCAAGCCTATTATGTGTTGTTGGTAAACGGTCAGGCTAAAGTCGTAACAAAAAATTGGCAGTCATATATTACCTCCGTCCCAAAATTCTTGTCTTAGGTTTGTCTAGATACATATGTATCTAACACTAAAACATGACTAGATACAGACGTATGTCACGTATCTAGACAAATCTAAGACAGGAATTTTGGGATGGAGGGAGTATATGTTTAAGCTCATGTTTGCGGCATGGACTTCACTTCCCTTTACATGTAGCGAATACTTGTTACCAAAATTTATAACCTTGTGATTATCCGAGGCATCATGTTTGTGTCCATTCATTTGGCTATTAATCAATTTACATGCTCCATGCAATCAAACAGGTTACAGATCTATTTGCGCGGTTCCAGTTTCATGCAACTATATCGATAAGTACATAATTGTGCCACGATGCAAGTACTAGCATAGCAAGAAGGCAAACATGCTCAAGGCACACCTAATTATGTACAAGTTCACTAAAGAAGTTTTGACACTGCCATAAGATTTATGATGCAGGATATAATAGGATTGAGCATAATAAACCGTAGAACATGCAAATCTAGGTTTCTCTCAAGAATCACGAACTTTCATATTCCAAGGCCAGGTATCCAGATCGAGGTCGCTAGTAAAGGCGGCTCCTTTTATTCCAGATTCCATAAAAATCCGGAGCGACAGCGAAGGAAGGGCTCACCTTGTGCTCGTTCTTGTTGACGCCGTAGCCGCTGCGGTACATCTGACCGACGAGGACCTGCATGGCGGCGTCGCCGGCGCGCGCCTCCTTGAGCGTGTCCTGGAACCACCGCTTCGTGCAGTCCAAAACCACCTCCGCGAGCGGCACCCGGTCGTCCTCCTGCATCCCGCATGCCGCCGCCACATCCCGCACCTCGGCCCGTCCAGAGCTGGCCCCGGCGGCGGCGCCGGGACCGGCGTTCCTGGGAGTATCCAGCGGAGCGGTCGGGGTCTTCGCTGCCTTGCTAGCGGCGGGGGAGAAGCGGGCGTAGGGGCGGACAGCGGCGGCTAGGGCGGCGGCTGGGAAGCGCCTGCCCATGCAAAGCTGGGGTTTCAGGGGAAGAGGGGGGGAGAATAGATGGGAGCGGAGGCGGACGGTGGAGTAAAGCAAGGGCTTTTCTGCGAGACGTGGAAAGGTTTAATTTTTAAGTGGAAAAGGTTGGTGGTGCCAAGTACGTAAAAGAGTTAGAATACAATTGCAAAAAGGTTAGAATATACAAATACATAACTGAAGAGAGGAAGATTTACATATTTTTTTATAAATCACTATAAGCTCCCTCGGGATGGAAGCACAGTCGATTGAGGGCATTGATTTCCATTTGGTGCTTAATTTCAACCAGGTCGCTTGTTGGATATTTGGAGGGATCTCCTGCTGGGTGGGCCTTGTTGGTAAGTGGATGGGTCGTGTGGAACTTCGTTGTCAATGGTGGGGGCGATCTTTCCTGGTCAAAGACCGGTAGGCGGTGTGGCATCTTGGAGCCACTCGGGTGAAACATGTCGCTCTGTTGATGTCTTCGTTGTGGTGGGTTGAGGTCAGCTTTGGGGTGGTCGACACTGGTGGTGCGAGGATAGTGAGATTTGGCGAGGAACTGGAGTGGATTACGGGAGCAGTCATCCTTATTGTCGCTTGATGATGCCATTGAAGGAGCTCAGTCGGGGGATGTCGTTGTTGTTGGAGGACATCCGCCCATGTGCGTGTGGCTGTCATTGGAGGACCTCCGTCGTCGTCGTCTCTGTTGTTGGAGGATTTTCGCCCTCGCTTCTGTTGCGTGCGGGTGTGTTGATGCTCTGTCTTGGTATGTTTTTATTCACCTTCCATTTAATTTGTTTTTCTTTGGGCTAATGTGTTGTTGTTGTGAGGGAAAAGAAGAAGTCGCCAATGTTGGGCACTGCAAGAGGCGGAGGCTACGTGGGTTATCGGAGATGGGGGAAGAGAGGATCGGTCCAGGGCTGCGTGGCTGAGAGAGAGGAGGATTGCTACTGCTTTGTATAGCTTATGCATGGAGTGTGATTGCTCCAATTTTTTTCATGTTGTATGTTGTGTAGAATCGAAAGTATGTCTAAAGAGGTGATTAGACTACTTGACCAAATAAAACTTATCATTTTCCTAATTTTAGTTGTAGACAAGTTTTAGCAATTCTACCAAGTCAAATACACCCTACACATGAAAGTCTAAGAGTTGTACAGCGGAAAGTAAAGACTTTGCATATGAACGTAAAGGAAGGATTTGAGATTTCAAACGCAATGAAGACATGATGATTTTTGGCGCGGTTCCGATAGGTAGTGCTATCGTACATCCACATTGATGGAGACTTCAAACCATGGAGGGTAACGGTTGTGCAAGTCCACGCAAGGCTCCACCCACGAAGGGTCCATGAAGAAGCAACCTTGTATATTCCATCATGGCTTACGTCCACGAAAGACTAGCTTTACTCGGGTAGATCTTCATGAAGTAGGTGATCTCCTCGACCTTACAAACTCCTTGGTTCAACTCCACAATCTTGAAAGCTCCCAAGTGACACCTAACTAGTCTAGGAGATACCACTCTCCAAAAGATAATAGACTGTGTTATTGATGCTGAACTTCTTACTCTTGTGTTTCAAATGATAGCCTCTCCAACACTCAAACACTCTCTCGCAGATTTGGCTTGGGTAGGAGAGGGGATTGAATGGAAAGCAACTTGAGGAAGTCTAGAAATCAAGATTCAAATGGTTGGATTGGAATCTTTTAATCTCAACACATGAGTAGGTGATTCTCTTCTCAGAAAATGAGTGGTGGAAGTTGCGGTTCGTTCCGATGGCTCTCTTAGAGAGTAGGTTGTGATGGAGGGGTATAAATAGGCAGCACCAAAAATACAACCATTACAAGTCTTTGACCCAACTCAGTGAGACCTACATGAAAATCTCCGTGAGACCGACTAGCGCAAAAGACTTTATCGTTAGGCTTTTCGGTGAGACCGATCATACCAACTCGGTGGGACCGAAGTGCGATGGCTAGGGCAAGATCTCGTTTCATAAATTCTGATTGGTTCATCTCGGTGATTCCAAAATGAAGCAACTTCATCACAAAAACTTGGTCAGGCCAACTAGGTGAGACCATATCCATTTTAGTTGTACCAAAGTATTAGGGTTTGGCATGTGGCAGTTGATACGTCTCCAACGTATCTATAATTTTTGATTGTTCCATGATATTATATTATTTGTTTTGGATGTTAATAGGCTTTATTTTACACTTTATATTATTTTTGGGACTAACCTATTAACCCAAGGCCCAGTGCAATTTGCTGGTTTTTTGCCTATTTCAGTGTTTCGTAGAAAAGGAATATCAAACGGAGTCTAAACGGAATGAAACCTTCGGGAGCGTGATTTTTGGAACAAACGTGATCCAGAGGTCTTGGAGTGGACGTCAAGAAACGAACGAGATGTCCACGAGGCAGGGGGCGCGCCTACCCCCCTGGGCGGTCCTCCCCCCTCGTGGGCCTCTCATGGCTCAACCGACCTACTTCTTCCTCCTATATATGTTCACATACCCCGAAAACATCCAAGAGCACCACGAAACCCTATTTCCACCGCCACAACCTTCTATACCCAAGAGATCCCATCTTGGGGCCTTTTTTGGAGCTCCGCCGGAGGGGGCATCGATCACGGAGGGCCTCTACATCAACTCTATGGCCCCTCCGATGATGTGTGAGTAGTTTAGTTCAGACCTTCAGGTCCATAGTTATTAGCTAGATTGCTTCTTTTCTCTCTTTGGATCTCAATACAAAGTTCTCCTCGATCTTCTTGGAGATCTATTCGATGTAACTCTTTTTGCGGTGTGTTTGTCGAGATCCGATGAATTGTGGGTTTATGATCAAGTCTATCTATGAACAATATTTTATTCTTCTCTGAAATCTTTTATGCATGATTGGTTATGTTTGCAAGTCTCTTCGAATTATCAGTTTGGTTTGGCCTACTAGATTGATCTTTCATGCAATGGGAGAAGTGCTTAGCTTTGGGTTCAATATTGCGGTGCTCGATCCCAGTGACAGAAAGGGAAATGACACGTATTGTATTGTTGCCATCGAGGATAAAAAGATGGGGTTTATATCATATTGCTTGAGTTTATCCCTCTACATCATGTCATCTTACCTAATGCGTTACTCTCTTCTTATGAACTTAATACTCTAGATGCATGCTGGATAGCGGTCGATGTGTGGAGTAATAATAGTAGATGCAGGCAGGAGTTGGTCTACTTGTCACGGACGTGATGCCTATATACATGATCATGCCTAGATATTCTCATAATTATTCATTTTTCTATCAATTGCTCGACAGTAATTTGTTCACCCACCGTAATACTTATGCTATCTTGAGAGAAGCCACTAGTGAAACCTATGGCCCCCGGGTCTATTTTCCATCATATAAGTTTCCAATCTATTTTACTTTGCAATCTTTACTTTCAATCTATATCATAAAAATACCAAAAATATTTATCTTATCATTATTATCTCTATCAGATCTCACTCTCGTAAGTGACCGTGAAGGGATTGACAACCCCTTTATCGTGTTGGTTGCGAGGTTCTTATTTGTTTGTGTAGGTACGAGGGACTTGCGTGTGGCCTCCTACTGGATTGATACCTTGGTTCTCAAAAACTGGGGGAAATACTTACACTACTTTGCTGCATCACCCTTTCCTCTTTAAGGGAAAACCAACGCAGTGCTAAGAGGTAGCAAGAAGGATTTCTGGCACCGTTGCCGGGGAGTCTACGCACAAGTCAAGACATACCAAGTACCCATCACAAACTCTTATCCCTCGCATTACATTATTTTCCATTTGCCTCTCGCTTTCCTCTCCCCCATTTCACCCTTGCCGTTTTATTCGCCCTCTTTTCCGTTCCCCTTCTCTTCTCCAGTTTGCCTCTTTTTGCTTGTTTCTTGTTTGCTTGTGTGTTGGATTGCTTGCTCGTCAAGATGGCTTAAGATAATACTAAATTGTGTGACTTTTCCAATACCAGCAATAATGATTTTATTAGCACTCCAATTGCTCCTCTTACCGGTGTTGAATCTTGTGAAATTAATGCTGCCTTGTTGAATCTTGTCATGAAAGATCCGTTTTCTGGCCTTCCTAGTGAAGATGCAGCTACCCATCTAAACAACTTTGTTGATTTGCGTGATATGCGAAATAAGAAAGATGTGGATAATGATATTGTTAAACTGAAGCTATTCTCGTTTTCTCTTAGAGATTGTGCTAAAACTTGGTTTTTGTCTTTGCCTATAAATAGTATCGATTCATGGAATAAGTGCAAAGATACTTTTATCTCTAAGTATTTTTCTCCCACTAAGATCATCACTCTTAGAAACGATATTATGAATTTTAAGAAACTTGATCATGAACATGTTGCACAAGCTTGGGAGAGGATAAAATTAATGATACGTAATTGCCCTACACATGGTTTGAATCTTTGGATGATTATACAAAAAATTTATGCCGGATTGAACTTTGCTTCTAGAAATCTTTTACCTTCGGCCGCGGGAGGCACTTTTAAGGAAATCACTTTAGGAGAAGCTACTAAACTCCTAGATAATATTATGGTTAATAATTCTCAATGGCATACTAAAAGATCTACTAATAAAAAGGTGCATGCTATAGAAGAAATCAATGTTTTGAGTGGAAAGATGGATGAACTTATGAAATTGTTTGCTAATAAAAGTGTTTCTTCTGATCCAAATGATATGTCTTTGTCTACTTTGATTGAGAATAATAATGAATCTATGGATGTGAATTTTGTTGGTAGGAACAATTTTGGTAATAACGCATATAGAGGTAATTTTAATCCTAGGCCGTTTCCTAGTAATTCCTCTAATAATTATGGTAATTCCTAAAACAATTATCATGGAAATTATAATAATATGTCCTCTGATTTTGAATCTAATATTAAAGAATTTAGTTTGCAAAAGAGTTTCAATGCTTTGATTGAAGAAAAAATGTCTAAGATTGATGAGTTGGCTAGGAACGTGGATAGAATTTCTCTTGATGTTGATTCTTTGAAAATTAGAT